GGGGGTGGCATTACTGTTGGGAAGCCATCTTTGCGACTTGTGATATCTGCAAACTGAGGTGATTCAGACGCAGTGTTTTGGTGTTTTGTCAAGTCGAATTCGGAGGAGGGAAAGAATATCAGATCTACAAACTAAACCTGCATGCACACCAAGCAAGAACTAGTCATCAATTGTGCAATTGTCGTCCTGTGTCCGCTAGCAACCGACTTCCAAGCTTGACTCACACTTCATCGCTCGCGGATGGAGATGCAATTGGTGGAGCTCCGGCCGATAACGGCTCCTGGCAGTCGCGTTATCCGTTTTTTCCTGACCTCAATGAGGGGCACCCACGGCGATGTCGTTGGTTGTCGTTCGAATTGGTGCCAAGCACCCATGGCGGGGTAGCAAAAGCTTCCTTCTTTCCCACCGAAGGGTTCAGGCTTGCCTGCCGGACCTTCCTTCCTCTCGGCGACCGGCATTGGGCAAGCTGAGGTGTAAGAGGTACGTACCGCGGATTGGCTGGCCGTCAAAACATTCCTGACAACTGTCACCTGACGGGCAGTGCAACGCTCCGGCCAATCGCGAACAACATGTTCTGTTTGTTTTGCCGGATCCACTTACCCTGACGGCTGGCCGCTTATTCATCACTCTCTTTTGCTTGATTCAGGGGCGTCCCGGCAAGCTCAAGATGAGAGGTAATATGAGAGCTCAGCAAGAACGACAACACAGTTGCAGGCACGCATTGCGGCCAAAGAATAAGGAAGATCGTGTATGAATCAAGGATACAGAATCGTATGTTTGTTCCAATATGTACATGTATTTATATGCAGAAGAGATGGGTATCTTTGTCTTCGTTAAAAAAAAAAAAAAAAAAAAAAACGCAAACCAAAACGCCTAGCCACACATTCCCAATGTGTTAATGCACCCCTTTGATAGGACTCCAGCCCATATCCTCGCTGGGAATCCGTGTTCCGTAAATGCTATGTGTTGTATCCCAAACCGTTGCCGGTATAATGCTTCTTCCCGGTTTATCATCAATGCAAGTGTCATAATCATGAGTCTTTAGTTCTCCCCCTCCTGTTGTTCCTCCTCGTCATCCTCTTCCTCCTCTTCGTTGTCCTCTTCATCGTCGCTCGCAGGAGGCTCCCAGGCATCCTCGAGCTTCAAGCCCTTGCCCGAGGGCTTCTCGTAGGCTCCGGCATTTCCAAGAAGCGAAAAGACGGTAGACTGGTGGAGGTCCATGCCGGCAGGCTCGTTGGTCTCGGGGGGATCGTAGAGTCCCATGCCGTACAGAATCTCGCCATCAGATTCGTCGTCTTCTGGTGCCTCATAGCAAACAGGCTCTTCGGAGGCCACCTTGGTGTTTGAGAACTGCTCCGGCAGCTCGAAGTTCTTTGGGGTAGGTGGCGCCGTGTATGTGTCCAAGCCGCTCGACGCCGGCGCATAAGAAGCCCATCCCATAACATTCCCTTCCGCCTTGGGGAAGGCAGCGTAAGAAAGATCGCCGGCCATGCCAGCCATGCTTTGGGGCGATTCTGGTGCTGATTGGTAGAGCTGAGTCCCCTGCGTGGCATACTGATGCTGCGACTGCTGGAAGTCGACGCTGGCGTAAGGGAGTGATAGTGGCGAGAAGGATGCCGAGCATGGCGAGTTGGAGCCGGAGTAGACGCTTGGGGTCGGGGGCAGTTGCGGAAATTGTGTGCAAGCCTCAAAATCTTGGTAGGATGGGTAGGGAGCATATGCCATCGTCGACTCCTGAGAGTAAGGCTGGGAATATGCCACCTGCTGCGACGAGGGGTGCCAGCTAACCGGTCGTGTTGTTGTCGTTGGCTTCCTCTCCGGTTCGTACATGAACTCGACCAGGAACTCAGCCGCAGGAGTGGGAAGATACGCCGCCTCGGCAGGTTGAGTGTAAAGATTCTGGAACCCATCACCCATCAAAGTCCTCCTCCTCTGCGAAAGTGAGTAGCGCGGGCTGGTGCTGGCGCTGCTGGGCTTTGTTATCCGCATCGAGGTGTTCATCCTCTGTCCACCGTAACCCCTCGACATGTTTCGTGTATGAGCAGCGATATATTGTTGTGACGCTTTGTCAAAGGGTGTTTCCATCATGTTGGCGTTGAACATTGGAGCCTGGTAGGAGAGATCCATGTTGAAGTTGTTGTTGCTAACCAGTAACGGCATCATCTTGGTGGAATGTTGTGAAGAGAGAGATAGGCAGAGTGTATGGAAAGATCTTGCTTGGTGGGGGAAGCTTGGTCAACTTTCCAAGTGAAGATAGACGGGGTATATGAAGTGAGAAGGAAGTGTAAGTTATGATATTGCGGAAACCATGCAAGACACTTGGGGCCCCGGCCGAGGAACCGAGATGGAGATGGAAGTTGGAAGCGGTTGGATGGATCAAACCTAGTTTGAAATCTGACCATATTGGCGCCGAAAGGAAACAACAAGACAGCCGATGGGGCGCTGAGGCATGTTAAGTGAATCCCGTCGTGTGCAAGACTCCGCGTCGACGGGGCTCAATGGAAGCTTACCCATGACTTTGGCTTGGGTAGCCTGCGTCATATGTGCGCGCAGGGATGCTTCAGCCTGGATAACCTTGAAGAAAAGAAAAAAGAATTTGAAAGGGTTTCGGCTTCTGCCCACACCAGAATAAACTGCAGGGTATCATGGGCAAGGTACAAGTAGTGTAGACGCAAACTGCAAAGCCGGATGGAAATATTGACGGGCAATGGTAATCCGAAGTGCTTGCGAGGGACGGCTCCGTACGCACTACGGGGTTGCAGGGGGGAAAAAGGGCGGCTCCTCAGCCTCCTCGTCGTGCATTCTTTTGGGTCGCGTGTAAGCTGTTAAAGAACGTACCTATTGTGGGGCTTATACCACTGTACTCGCAGTGTAAGTTACATCCTGGAGAAGCATGGCATGGGCCATGGTTGGTCGCCAGGCAAGATTCAAGAGGAAATTGAAGTATCGTGGTATACACACTGTGCCACCACAAATGGTCATTCGTCAGGTACACACAGTGTCAACGTCTCAAAGCGTACGATAACAGCGAGCGGAGGTTCCAGATGGGTGGTGGTGGGCGGTCAAGCGGAGCAATGAAGCGGAAAAGAAACCGCCTCCACTCTCCAACACTCCGTCTCCGTGGGTCGTGTCTCGAGCCATTCTTTGGTGCCCTCATCCCGGCATGCTTGTTAGTGTGAAAGTGGCAAGTACGTACCTTCCATAATCCGAGTCGGTGACTTGGATATGGGGCAGATACTTGGAGAATCTGATGGATACGGTACCAATGCGCAGATTACCTACAAGTAGTGGTCTGCCGTCCGCAACGGTTGAAAGCGAGTTTGTTAAACATATGCCTTATTTGCCGTCCCCGTCGTACCCGCCTGCTTCAAAGAGCGTTTGTAATGATTACGCACCGATGGGCCCAAACCTTTCAGAGGTGAGGTTCTCATAGCCTGTCAAGCCGAGCGCAATGCCCGACAAAGTAGCGGGTTGTATTTCACTGCTGTCGATCACGAGCATGTGTGAAGAACTACGAGCAAACATACGTATTTGAGCCACAATGATACTCTGCAGGTACAGAAAGAGGTATCGGCTTGGATACCCAGGGCAGGATGAACAATGTCGGACTGAACAGGAGCATGTTGCCCGTGGCTAGACGGGCGAGGATATTGCTGGCTTTGCAAAACTAACCGCCCCTCGTGCCCTCATTTCGGTCATAGTGAGGTGGGAGCCATGGTGACAGCATGGTAAGCCAGGTAGGCACGGCGGGATAGCCGTCTGAGGTGGTGGAGGAGAAAACTCGCAACAAAGTGAGGAGGTGGTGATGTACAGAATCGGGTTGGTACAGCGTAGAGTACCCACTTGAGCCACTGTGGCCGCGGAGGCCCAAGAGCAAGGAGGACGTCCTGTGGAGGGGATAATGGCCACCCGCGGCGTCCCTTTTGCAACTGGGGTTGGCAGGGATCGCAAACAGACTTGTCGTCTGCATGACTTTCAGTTGCCGTGGAGTCTGACAGCAAAAATGGCTTCCATTTGCAAAGCCCATGACCATGCTCGCGTGTTAAAGTGAGGTGAGGTACCTAGGTATCGAAGCGAGCGGGGAGCGACACCCTGAAAGCCAGTCCTTGCACTGATGCACCCAATGCACGGGACGACAGGTGCGCCTTGGACAATGGAGGGTGTGCGTGAGGAAAAGATGGGTGTGTGAGATGAGTAGCCAAGACTTGTGCGAAGGCCTGTACGGAAGTTAAGTGGCCGTTGTGTGATCTCGAGAGAATCGGCCAGGATCAACGTACCGAATTCTTCTCAGCCGGGGGTGTTTCCAGAAAGAGATGTGGCATCTCCTGTGTCTTCCCCCCTTGCCGTTCGATGAAACCCTGACTTGCTCTACTTGCCTGGCCCTGATGTGTTGCTCCAGGCCGTGGGTTCTGCGGTCGCGGCTCAAAGGCCTGAAAGGGTGGTTACCGCAACCATGTCGTGCAAATACGCGCATCTTGTTCTTTCTGCAGGCTTTCCCCCGGTGAGCCGGGCGTGTATCGTAACGTATTGAAATCTTTCCAAGCATTCAACTTCCTATTAGAACTTCACGCGTCGTGTCCCCACTAGACACCCCCTACCTTTTAGGAATCATGCTGACCATCTGCCAGGGTCGGCCAGGAAAAGGAAGAGGAATGGTCATAATTAGCGCTAGCACGGAAAGCAGTAGCGCAGGATTTCGGGGCCTTGCGTTTTAGGGATTGTCGTTCTTTGCCTTCTTTTGTCGACACAGCAAGAGTTGCACCGAAGAAGCGGATCGTGGTGTTGAAGGCATGCCCCAGTGCCCACATGCCTCCTGGCGACTGCGAGAGGGATGTGATGATAGTGAGCCAGGTGTCTTTGGAGATTCCTGATTTGTCTCCTTCCGTGGGCCGTGGCCGTGGCCGAAACTTGCCCTGCTGCCGCCGTTTCGGTGGGTACATGCCTTTGCCTGGAGCTCGCGGCAACGTCGTGGATGGCGTGGATGTCCAATATGCTGCACAGATTATGGCATTCCGATAATAGAGCCACCACAAAGACCCATGGCTCTAGGAAGGACGGGGCCTCGGCCGAGAGCTGTTGGAATGTAGTGGTGTACCTACGAGGAATAGGTACGTACCTTGATATTGCTTGGGTGTTGCCCCCCGCAACCCTGGTTTTGGCAACATGTTTGGAGCTGGCCGATCTTTTGCGGCGGTTTGTTAGTGCTGCTTGCTTTCGCTGTTCGCTCTCGTTTTGACGGTTGTGGCTTGATGAAAGATTGCGCATATGTACGCATGATGCTTTCCCAGTTGGAGGGTTGACAGAAGGTCTGAGCTGATATTGCGGTAACTGGGCCTCTGCGCAGCTCTTCCGGACTCCCAGCTCGTGACTCGCCTCCCCACGGCCTGCGAGTTCTGGGGGCACCACCAGCGAAGGTGCCATCAACCACATCAGCCCCGATCAACCCCAACAAAGGGCGATGCCGGTCTGGTGGAGAGTTAGTTCGTGTTCTTTTTAGCGAGGCTTGCGAGACGACTCGGGCATCGGTGGTCTCGTCTGCGGTCGGGGTTGATGCTCTTTGGGTGGCTCATACTACTGTGTACGAGCGCGAATGCAGTTAGAGTGGGAGGAACTTTGGGAGGTTGTGATGGATCTTCAGAAAGGTTTTGGGCTTCACAAGGAAACGAAGCCTGGCGAGGGCAGGTACGTACCATTGGCGGGGACGCGTGGGTTGAAGCGGGACTCGACCTCACTGCAGTTTCAGGGAATTAGGTACTGTGTAGGTCAGGTTTCCAGAGGAAAGTGGGGCTTCGCTTTTTCTTTCCCTGCGACCTAACAGTGCATCCCGCCTAAAACTTGTGACGACTTTTATCTGGTAATATTCCAGCCGAGACTTGAACGGTTGAAAGGTACCGTCACACAGTCTGGCTCCATGTCGGTTACCGATAAGAATCGGATGTATCTTACGTTGAGCCAATCTTGTTCCTTGTCAGGCAGATCTCACCAATCAGCCGGGCCCCAACAAGGCTCCCTGTCGCTGCTTCAGGCACTGTGTTTCCATGACTGCTGTCGAAGCTTGGAAGCACAGAGCGATGCTGACATCTGGAAGTTGAGAAGTTGAACATTCCTGCCTTCCTGATCTGAACCATTGGATGGCAAAGAAAAGATTTGCAAAGTTGAATGCTTCAGTTGGCATTAGAATTCATGTCAATGTGTTCTTCGCAGTCAGCGCGTATGCATGCTCAATGTATGTCCAAGTATGCCCAGTTCATGGCTATCAGTGCTTACTTCCCGCTTCGTTTCCACTTGCGTGTGGTTATTGTATGGTGCAGATATCTGTTTTGGTATTTTCAAGGATGGTGCCAATCAAGGGAAGTGGACGAAGGAGACCGCCGAGAGAACAACCACACAAGGGAGACTGCAAAACCAGAGACAGGCATCCGTCTCGGGGTCAGTTCGGGCAGGGGAAAAGCAGGCATTTTTTTTTAGCATTGAAACAGGCCGCGGGACACCCACACCCGTGCATGCGACCGAAAAAGGATGGTAAGTACCTGCCGAGTAGGATGCGTGGTTGGTGACAATGAGAAATTTCCAGAAAGACCTTGGCATGGAAACACGGATACATACCTAATGCGGATAGCCCCATGTACTTATCTGTACGGACTCTTTTGAGTAAGATTGAAGGCACTCCAATGATTAATCACATTATAATATGGAAAAGTTACTTGCTACGTCTTGCTCACCAGAGGCACTTGCACCTATCTGCTGGTTGTTGGGAATCGTAAAACCAGGAACAATTATAAAGCCAAATGCAATTTTATCTATCGGATGCACGAACCATGCCTTGTTGAGGAGAAAAAGACTGCCGCCGTTAGGTCCTTTTTTTGTGGGGTACACATGCAAGCTCTTTGAACTCCGAACCATCATTTGCTGTCACGATTTCGATGTCCTTGCTGCTGGAGCGTGCCTGGCTGAGGCTGGTGAGTTCTCTGCTGCAACTGCACTGTATTGCAGTGCACAGAAAGTGCAGTGGTGAGTGACTTCCGTTTCCGACACAGTGAGAGATCGATTGGGCCGCACTTCCAGATCGCACCTTCCAAGACTTGTGCTTTCTCACGCCACTAATTGGTCGGTCAAGCCAGATGCATATCCCGACATGCCCTGTCGCGCCGACGGGAGGCGCA